TCCTGTTCCTCATGAACTAGCTTTGGTTGTTGCATTCAGTCAGGATTGGACCAACAAATACATTTATGTGTATCCTCCCATCCATTTTCTTCCCAGGGTGATTTTGATCCTTCATGTTACTCTGTCTCAGGTTCTTTTGATTGCTCCTTACTGTTCGGCAAAACCATGGTTGCCGTGGCTACTCCAGCTCCAGTGTGCCCCACCAGTACCTCTTCCTACATCCCTTCTACATCAACCTCAGTCACCGGCATTTCATCCAGCTTTTCATATCCTTCATCTTCATGCCTGGTTTTTATCCAGTCTTTGGCAAGGAGATCAGCTTTGATCTCCCATTACTGGCTGGCAAAATCATGGTTTCCATGGCTGCTCCAGTCTGCCCCACCAATACCTCTTCCTCCATCTCTTTTACATGAACCTCAGTCACCAGCATTTCATCCAGCCCTTCATATTCTCTGTCTTGTTTTTATCCAGTCTGTGGCAAGGAAGTCGGATTGTCCTGGCTAGTTGCTTCATTTTTAGCTTGTTCAATTAGCTCTTCCTCTCTAGATGTTTATCAACGTAAGTGGAATGTTTTCTGCCATTGGTCTTTGGGTCGAGAGTCTTCACCTGCTCAACCCACTGTTTCTCTTTGTACGGATTTCCTCACTTGACTGTTTTTGTTTTTCCTGTTACATTAAGTTTTAACCTCTACTACCCTCTTCCTATTCTTACATTCGTTCTGCATTTGTCATCCTCCTTGGTGCACAGTCTTTCTGGATTGAGAAGTCAATATGATTCTTCACTGCCTTACTTTGCCTCCATTTAAACCTCCGTCCTCATGTTTGATTTTTCACTTATCCCTTAAAACTTATTTCCTTCTCTTGGCCTGTGGATGTCAGAGGTCAGATTTATTTGCCATCGAAGTTCATGTACCCTTTATCATAACACACATTTTCTCCTCTATCCAGATCTCTCTTGCCTTCCCAAGACTTCAGAGGCTCATGAGGATAACTCCTTTTTTTTGCAGATTTCCCTTCCTTCCATTTTTCACCTATATCCTCAGTCTGACCTGGATAGCCTACTATGTCCTGTATGTGCTCTTTGTTGTTTGTTATATTGCCCACACAGCTTCCTTTCATGATGCCCATTCCAATCTCTTCATTCTGTGAAAGATTTCCCCCATTTGTGACCTTTCTCTTTCCACTCTTACCAACTGGGTTTGGCTTTTAATGCAATTGGCTTACACTTACTTTTTCCCTGGTGTCTCATCTCCATCGTCCCTCTCTGTCTGCATTGAATCACTGTTTTTCACCATCTGGTTATCATCTTTCACCTGTGTCCATTTTCAGACTTCAGTGAGATTGTGATTGGGTAAGTTATCTTTTGTATACCTTTTATTTTTTCGGGTCATTTCCCGTTTTTTTTCCCCCTGTATGGATCCCACTCTGTGGTGAGTGGTGCCTAGCCAGGTATACTTCAAATAGTCAAATCTGCACTGTCAGACTATGTTGACTTCATATTTATAATTTCCATGGCCACTTAATGCTCACTGTTGAGATGGGATGTTCCACAAGATTGCTTGTAGGTTTTACCTCATGATATTGATTTGTTTCATTAATATGCCTGTTTCAGACCATACTCACCATGGACTTCATGGGTAAAGCAGAAAGGGATAACTGCCCATCCCTGCCATTCCTTTGATTGAATAACTCATGTATGGTCTGCTTTTCAAAATAGAGTTCTCATGGTCACCCATTGCACTATTTCCAGTGTTGACGTTCTTCTGGACTCTCCACTACATTTTCTTCCTCCTTTTTCTTCCAGTGGAGTATAGGAGTCCTTACCATGAAGGCATCCTCCTGAATGTGATATACGATATAAACAATAATGAATCCATTCAGTTGAGAGTAGGATAGTGGTGTTCTGTTGGTGTGTATGACAAGATGTCCTCCAATTTGATGTTCCATCTCTATAATGGTTTATTTGAAGAAATGTTGTAACTTTGGAGTGAGCTGTCAAAATTGCAGTTCACCCCTTCAATTGGGATCCCTCATCTTACACCTATATGGATGTTGGTTCTCAGTGGCTGGGTTTTGGATTCAGAGCTGAACCAATCAACATAAGTCCTCACACAGGTGTTTCTGTTCTCTCACTCACTTATACTCTTGTTCACTTCACCTGTGTTGTGGCTCACAGTGGTGGTACTTGCAGATTAATACGGTTCTTCTTACGCTATTTCTCAATGATTTTCATATAACAAGGTTATTTTTGTGCTTGGGATGGTTCCTGTTAGATTGGGGTTGAGTGGGATTGATTACTTTACAGGGATATCTTTCTTATGCAGATCGTCCAGGTGTCAGGTTCGCGGATCAGTCATACAATTTATCATATTGCTATCATATGTCCCATTCACAGATTGTCAGGTATGAGATTTCCTTCTGGTTTGCTGAACCTGTAAAGATGGTATGATCTTCTTTCTTATCCCTACATGGATGTTGGTTCACAGTGGTTGGGTTTTGGATTGTAGTTGACTTGCCAGTAGTATGATCCTCTTTTCAACCCACACATGGAGGTCTGTTCTCAGTGGCTCTGTTTTGGATTATAGTTGACATGCTGATGGTATGATCCTCATCCTAGTTCTGTGTGGATGTCGGTTCCCAATGGCTGGTTTTTGGATGCAATTAACTTGCTGTGTATGGTCCATCATGCCTTAGCCACTCTACACCTAGGGGCACATATTTTTTACTCTCATCCACATTCATGTAATCTATTGGATTGAGATTCAAATATTGTGTGATTCAGATCCCTATCCACCCATTGTTATCTCCCTTTTGGATGTGACCCTCTCATTTTCTGCCCATGTCTGCATCACCTCTTTCCACACTGGTCGAAGAGTATACCTGGTACAGAAGTGGTGTGATTTCCTTTTTTAGGGTGTTCTTCAGACACTTTCAAAGGATGCTTCTTTCTTTCCCTCACACCTATTAAATGTTGGATTCTAGCTATTTATGTGAGTAGAGGTAATGTACTGTATTGGAAGTTATAATTTTCCTATACTGAAAATGTATTTCTTTGTGGTTATAGGTCTTTTTTTTTTGTTGCAAATGTGAAGAATTTTCTTGATAAAATATTTATTTAACATTACAATTTAACGTAAACTTACAATTGTTTTTGCCATGTTATTTTTTACATTAAGTTTTGCAACTGGTAAGTATCACCACTGGGCCTCAGTAAACTGATTATAACAGGTTTTTAGACTTTTTCTGACTTTATGTCATACCTTTTGTTATTTTTAATGTTTCTTATGCCAGCTTTTTTTTTTTGTTTAGTTTTATGCAGAACAAGCAAGAAAGAATTTCGTGGTGTACTTAAAAATCCACCAAGATTATATTTCTAGTTTGACACCTGAACAGCAAGAGACCCTGAAAAGAAACAAGGTTGACAAAAAGAATAAACTTGGTAAAAGACGGCTGAAAAGTGTAAGTTACTCTCAGTTTAATGGAGTCTGAACAAATAACTTTAGACATTGTTATGAAACATGGTTATAACAGTTAAGGAGCATATACGCTGTAATGTTATAATATTCAACTGTGGTATCAGAGGTTATTTGGATTTTGAAAAATAAATTAGTGTAAAGTATACTTTTGTTCTGGTTACCAGTTTACTGATTTCCAACACAGCAAATGGTCCTGTATTCAAGGTGTGGCTTCATGCCAGTTGGCAGTCGACTTGGGGTAAGCAATGTCATAACAAGCTTTTCCAGATCAAACCTTCTGTTGCTCTTTGACTGTGTTGTTTCTGCAAGGATCAGAAGGAGCAAGTTGTTCTGGCTGGGCTATGCATTGGTCACAATTTTTTAACTCATTGTTTTCTTTTAGCTGGTACTGACCCACCAATGTCTAACCTTTGTGACACTCAAGTCACAATAATCCACATTTTACTGTTGTGCTGTCATTACAACTGTGAGTGGCAGTACCATTTTTGACATGTACTTTCTATGGGTTTATCCCTGATGATGGTGACACTGTTTAACTTGATTGTATTTTTAAATTTTTACCACCCATTGGCCTTTTTAATTCTATTTAAATCTTTTATCAGAATTTTGGACATTGTTTAGTTTTAACTCAATTTATCTTTACATTTTTTACTAGTTTTTTGGCACTTAGTTGTACCTGCATAATAAAACTTAAAAGATACACTAAAATTACAACTTTGACTAAAAGTATTGAAATAATACTTATTATTTCCAGAAGAATGCTGTAACCTACAACTACAATTATTTTTTTGTCTATGAGCTCAAATCTTCTGTCAGGTTTCTTCACACTCCATAAGATTTTATATATGCCCCTCAGTGGTACAGCGGTATGTCTGCAGACTTACAATACTAGAATCCAGGTTTTGATACCCGTGGTGGGCAGAGCACAGATAGCCCATTATGTAGCTTTGTGGTTAATTACAATAAAAAAAAACAACAAGATTTTATATACTCTTTATAAATATAATAGTACTGTCTGTTGTCTGTCCATGTAACTACTTCACAGGGTGTGGATGGATCTTCTCCAAAATTGGTATGGAGGTTCATTAGGTCCATATAGGGGTACATACAAATTTTCAGTTTTGCAGTTTTTATGGGCTTTTTTGCATCTTTTTACCACCACCTCACCTCCTGTGGATGGATCTTCAGTAGATTTGGTATTGAGGATCATTGGATCCTTGGGGAGAGACATACAAGTTTTCAATTTTGCATATGGACATTTTGCTGTTTTTACCACTACTTTGCCCACTCTTGATGGACCTTCAATATGTTTGGCATGAAGGTTTGTTGGGTCCATACAGAGATACAGGTGAAGTTGTGGGTTCATATTTTATGTTTTGCAGTTTTTATGAGAGTTTTTCATTTGTTACAATTACATATAAGGGAAGCAACTTTTCATGCTCTAAGATAACCATTCATAACTTCCATCCAGGGGATGGGTACTTCAGGTAGTTTTAAATAAAATAAGAATGATATTGCAACTTACAAGATATGCTGTGAATCATAATCTTTTAATTTTTGAACAGATTCTTATGAATGTTTCAGGAAAGATTAGTTTCTAAAAGGTATACATATTGGATGAAGAAAATCCATGTCAGAAACTTCCTTGAATTATATCTATGATTAATATAGTCTGATAAATATGATGTAGTGGATAGTACTTTTTTGCTTCATAAGTGGCCATGTGTCTGAGGAATTCAAACATAATAATTTTCATATGTTTTAAAATTATTTCAGAAATAAAGTGACAAAATACATTGTTGAAAAATTAGGACTAGTAATGAGATGTTTATATTTTTTTTTCTTTCCACCTTTCTTCATTCATTCAGTCAGTCTGATTGATATTAGGTAGCTGTTTTCTACATAGATTACAAAAACACTAGAAAGTTTTTTTTTAACTATATATATATGTATTTCTTGTTTTAATCTAGCTTAGGCTTCTTAAGATGTTTAACCTTTTTCAATACGCTGGATATTCTGATACGATATCTTACCAACTCTCACAAAAAGCTTTTTCGATTAGTTCTGCTCTTTATCAGTGCAACTTTTTGCTCACTACTAACCTTTTAACCCTCACATCTTTCTGCATATCTATAAGCAAATAATCATGCAGCAACCCTCCACCAATAGGAGTGCGACACTACCCCTATTGGCTTTGAAAAAAAAATCATCGTGACACTTAGGATTTATTATAAAATCTCTTTCAGGAGTCTTAATATCTTGTGCTTGATTTCCTTATAAAGTTATCCCTAAATACTCCTATTAATTAATAAGAGGATATGCATTGAAAATCTAGAGTGATTAAATGATGGCCTGCTAGATTCTCAGATCAGAAATTATTGGAAGTATCTTCTGTTTGGAAAAGTAACAAAAATTAACAGCCATCTCTAAAGCTAGTAAATAACACCTATCTTAATATTAAAAAATATATTATGAATTATTATAAATATGTATATTGGAAGCAACACTAGGAATAAAGGCTTTCATCACTTTTGTTCCACTAAAGTATTTATAGAAAACATGATAAAACTTCCATAAATGCATCAGTAAAAACTGGAAACAAAACTTTGTGCTTACATACTGCCAATTTGGGTTAGCAGTCTTTTAATTTTTCACTTCTTGATTATAGGAGAAATAAAACATCAAAAATAATCATATCCACATATACACTATGCAAAAAATTTAAGTACAAGAAATTTGAGTATTCACCCTTGCTATCATACTACATTACACCTGGATGAAGTTGTAAGGCATCTTCAACTATGTGGCTTCTGTTGATTTATATACTCATGGCTAGTATATTATGATAATTCCTTAGTCTACAAATTTTGAGCCTTGTTAGGATTGTTCAAGTATCTAGTAAGACTTGGCAAGCTGCTGAACTAACCAATGGTGAGCTGGACTTGTTCAGGTTGCCAACTCTTTTTAATTGCTACAACTAACTAGACTAAAAAGGACTCAGATGTTATACATTTGTCACAGCTAAGTTTAGAATAAATTTTGTTCAATTTTTAACTTATAGTAATTAGAATAAAGATTATGAATGGGAAGGGAAATAGAAGACTAAAGAAAGTGTTGTGTTTATGTGGGATAACATATATAGTTTTAAAGAGGTACCCACATAACTTATGAAAAATATGAAGTTTTGAGACAGCTATATGTGAGCTGTAATGAATTTGTTATTATATATTTATTTTAATATTGACGTTTGTTTAGATTAAATTTATATTTAGAAACATACATAGCTTATACTGTTAAATATTTATTGCGAAACTCCTGCCTATTCTCCAAAGTTGTAGAAGATTCTCAAGAGTAAGAATCAACAATATATGTGTGTACGTAAATGCTTGTGTTAGTATCAGTGTTGTTACATAAAACTGAAAATTCGAGAAAGCCTCCACATGCCTATAAATATAACCAATGCGACGCGCAAAAAAAAAGTAGTATCTATTATTAGTTTGCTATGGTCAGTGTGCTATAAACTTTGGAAGCTATAACACTTGTCAGTTGGAAAACTTCAGGTATTTGACCAGGAGCATTTACAAAGTTTGAACATTACAAATCATTTAACTTCAGTGGATTCATATCGGACATTTGTACCTTTACGAAGTTATTATTTAACTTCAGCGGTAAAAGAAACTTGACCTGTAATCGGTGTGTGTGGCTGGAGAATAACGAAGGACAAAGCTAGCTAGCTGCCTGTTAAGTGAATTATACCTACGTCAACTCGTAATTAAGTTGCTCATCATGAACCCTCGATAAGATATTGAAGAAGTTTCAGACTAGAAAGAATACTTTATATTGCTTGTAAGTTTGTGAAACACTTGTTTATAAATCATTGTGTGTAATAACTATTTGTAATAACTGTTATTATAAGTTGTATTGTTGTATGTATAGTAAAATGTATTTGTAGTTTAAAAAAAAAGAAACTGTGTGTGTCAATCTTGTTGGCAAATATCATAAACTGACTATATATCGTC